ATAATTTCAAAATACACCTATATTACCATCTAAACTTATAAATTTTAACAGGCTTATTTTAAGAAACGATGAGAAATATAGCTACATTAAGAATTTACCAATCAAGGATCAAGGGAGTATATATTCACGACAATTTGAATTTATGCTCCCAGGTTAAATATATACATATATATACACACACATGTTTTAAAGATAATTTACCAGTCAAGAGGTGATACCCCTTTTCATCCAAATATGAGTAGGGAAACAACCAAAACAACTTCTAGACCCTCCCAAGCGCTGTGTCAATTGATCAGGGTGCACAACAATAAATAAATAAATAAGTCACTTTATCTTTTATAAAATTCTATGCACTGTCTCAATAAATTTTAAGACAGCTAGATTAGGTGTGATACATAATGACACTTCTATGGCAGGAGACATTTTCATAGCATGCCAAACAAGAAATGGGAGCCAACAAATTAATTAACACTTTCTATGGCTGATAGACAGTTATGAGTTCCATCACAATGCTATTTCATAGTAGGAAAGTTAAGAAATCATGTTATTGGTAATTCTACAGATGACATTGACTTTACCATGACACCCAGACACTGCCTTTCGAAGCAATTCTAGAAAATTAATTTCTGTTCACAAAATGGAATGGGCTCATGGAAACAGTAGGATAACAAAGACTACATATTACTATTATCCAAAGTAATTATTTAAACTTGTTTAAAGTGTACACATTGCAAGGTCATCTGCCAGAAAGTCTAATTCAGCAGGTATGGGATGCAGCCAGAAAACTTATTCCATGGTGTAACTGTTCCACTGTAAGAACATTTTAGAAATTTTTACTTCTATTATACATTATTTCCATCTTTACATCCTGTTTCATTTGGGCATTGTGCAAATCAGGTCCATAGACTAATTGCAATTAAAAAGTTGATGTGATTGTGGAGATGTTCCAATGGCATTTTGTCTCTACCAAAAGTACATTTATTAGCCAATTATTTGACATTAATTGTAAGAATAATTTCTAAACTAAAGTAAGACTTTTATAAACATATTGGCTTACAGAGAAGATTAACCAAACATATTACAATATTTATAATTTTCTCCTGTCAATAAGGTACACATTTTCCTTGACATTTTGCAAACCAACAGTTTAAAATACGGTAATTTTACATACATCACTTAGAGATTCAAAACAGTAAGAATCACTAGGAGCAACTGACTTTCACATTGATTATAGCAATGGTAACTAATATTCCTCTTTCTCTATTAAAAGAGCACTGAAATATCTTGCATGCAATTATTTGTAGTTTACAGACCTATTTGCATGAGGATGTTCTAAGCTTAATTTATGCCCTGTGTACTTTGAAAGCTACCTCAATAATTTCACCTATTTGAAATTCATAAACTCTTCCAACTATGAGCACCACCAGATGGAAAAATTTCTGAAATGAACCCAGTTTGAACGTGTAAAGTATGAGGCATATGACATGTCTGATTACAGTTACTGAAGAGTTGAACGGATACTAGCTTATATTTTTAAACTCTATTACTTACCATAATTCTAATACTTATTTTGTAGTGAACATCAATCAACATTTTTGTGAGATAATTTATAAAGGTGAATAATAGGTTTTTATGTTTGCCCAGTCTAGATACATATTAGCTGAAAAATAAAAAATGCAACATAAAGCTGAAAGGTTAAATAAAATATCTCTAGTTATAGCACTACTGTGCCCTCCACAGAACAGGTATTCAACGACTGTTTTCTGAGCCTTTTTTTTTTTTTTTTAATAATCACAGAAATAAAGTCATCCAATTACTTTAAAAGATTTCAGAAATTCTACAACTTTTCCCAGTAATCTTTCCCTTTTGACTTTAAGGTATGAAGTCCTTATTTATTCCTAACAAAACACTCTGGATGAGATTAAAGTTCATTTTCTCCATCTCTACGAAAACTAAGAAGAGCTGTCAGTCTCCTATTTAGAATAACTTTTCAAACATTGGAGTCAATCTAGTCCCCATTCCTTATGAGCTGTGGGACCTTGGAAAATGATAAAAATCACATCTACAAGATAAATATATTAAATATAATTTTATTGGTTATCTTTGTCTTTAAAGAATTTTTGTGTATGTCAATTTAGTTCATTCTCAAAACAATCCAATGAGGATGTTTCATTACTGCAGGACAGTTCATTATGTGTCAGATGATAGAAAAAGACATGACAAGAAAAATCTGTTGATGTTCCTATAGTTATAAAAATAAACTGAGATAAAAAACACTAAAGACTTTAAAAATTAATAAGGCACTGATAAAGTGCAAGGTGGTAACTTAAGTAATAATATATCTCAGTGTTTTTTTCTTCCTCATTCCAGAGTAATGCTTTTATTCAACCCATAGGTCATACTTTCATTTTATTTTTAATTTTCTCTCTGGATCATATATATTTCAAGAAAAATATCAAAGAAGCTAAGAAAAACAAAATTAGTTATAAGGCACAATGCATTTCATGCCAAGAAGAATAACATAATTACAACCAGTTCTTATGTGTTAACCTGTTTATTCTTGTTTCTCAATATCCAATTTCCCCTTTTTTAAGTCAGATGATATTAACTTTTGTAAGTCCCAAGTCCACTAAGATTTTATATTTCTATTTTTTTTCTGCAACATAATTTCCATCAACTTTTTTTTGGGCCATTAACAACCCAGTTCTTATGGGTTAAAACCTGTCTAATAGTTCTGCTTCCTCACAAGTAGTCAATTTACCTTTTCCTACACCGTCATTAGGAATCGGAGTCATTACACGCTCCGCTTTGTAATCCCGCACTTCCAACTACACAATGTTACTTATTTCGTGCTCGTCTCTTCTTTTTGCTTCGGCAGCGACATAACCACCTCTCCTCAGCTCTTTTGTGGCGCCGCACGGCGCCGAACGCCCCAGACTCTCGCTCTGTTGCCCAGGCGGAGTGCAAGTTGGCACTATCTTGGCTTCAGCTCAACCTCCGCCTCCCAGGTTCAATGCCATTCTCCCTGCCATGCAGCTCCTATGACGTAGCCATGGGACTCACAGGCTCCGCCACGACCTCCCCCCGTCCATACGCCCGCTATTTTTTTTGTATTTAAGTAAGAGACACCCCGACGTTTCACCGTGTTTACCTAGGGTGGTCTCGATCCCTCTGACCTCTGAATCTGCCCACCCGGCCTCCAACAGTCTGGATTTACAGGTTGAGCCACCCACGCCTGCCGGCCGTCAAAAACAGTATTCCTCTACGATTATTGATAAATGTTTCAATTTCTCTCAATTGTTCTTGTACGTTTAAATGACCTTTTAACTGATTATGAAAATAGAGCATTCCTCCTCAGTTTAAGACAATTTAAATCTTAGCCCAAAAATCCAGTGTCTTCCTATCATTGCTGAAACCGCTAGAGC